TACGAGAGGGAAGGATGGAGGAGGGTAACAGGGAAAAGAAGGGGCAGGGTCAAATCAAGGAACATGTATAAAGGACCCATGGACAAAGCCAAAGTGGGGAAGGATTGAGGGTCGGAGGTGGGGGTGGCTGGGACAGGGGAAAGTGGTAGCAGGAAAATGGAGACAAATGTATTTGAACAATAAAAAGAAGAATTTTTTTAAAAAGAATAAAAACAATCCTTCCTTAGATTTAACTAAAAAAAAAAAAGAAAGAAAGACAAAACATGGGCATACCTTGTTTTACTGTATTTTGCTTTATTGTGCTTCATAGATGCTGCATTTTCATCAACAATGAGGCAGGACCCTCTACCAGCAGAAAGATTATGACTTGCTGAAGGCTCATGATGGTTAGCTTTTTTTTGAGGGGTGGGGGGCAATAAAGCATTTTTAGAGTAAGGCATATATGTATGTGTGTATTTTATACATAATGCTATTGGAAACTTAATAGACTATAGTACACTGTAAACATAACTGTTATAGACACTGAGAAATCAAAATATTCATGTGACTTGCTCTGTGATACTTGCTTCATTATGGTGGTTGGGAGCCAAACCCATAGTTTCCAAGTATGCCTGTACAATCAAAGCATCTGGATGAGTATTTCACTTAAATGGTCATGAGACTACTGATGAGACTCTTCCTTTCCATCTGACCTCTGGATCATTCCAAGAAACACTGATACTTTTCCCAGTTAATCAGTCAGGCCTTGGAACTCTACTCCACTGCTGTTCATCTCCACTCACTTCAGCGACCTATGTACAGTTATTATCTCATCCTGAACCTCAAGATCTGGAAGTGTTGCACTGAATTCCTCTCTGGCTAGGAACTCCAAACCTATGATCCCTCCCATTAACGAGGGTTTTAATCTCCTTAAGACTTGCTGTCCTTTCACCTCACTGTATTCTTTCAAGCTGTCAGGTCAGCTCTGCTAATTCAACTTCCTTCTCCAATTTGCCTGAATCCCATGATAAATCTCTTGATCTTTTGTTGGATCCTCCATTAATTTTTCACATCGCCTTGTTCCGCATCTATCAATGAATGAATCCCCAACTAGAATCAATCTACTTCAACACAATTAGCTGAAATTCCTGGGTTACTGACCCCACTTAGATGGGCACACTCATGTCAATTGGCTCCAAATCGATCTGATTTCTAGTTTCACCTGGGTGCTTGATGGCCTCAAAACGGTCTGGCAAGTCTCATCTCTAGTCATTTCCTGTGTCCATTCTTCATAGATGTCCTGATCTCCACCATTCTTTCAAAACCTCTAGCTGTCCCCGGTTCCTCTCACTCACAATAAATGACTTAGTATATCGTCAAGCTTTTCTTAAATATATTTTGTAAGCTATTACTATATAATATTTTAAATGTTGGGGTACAACAGGTTAGAAAAAAGCATTTTTAACATAAAAGATCAGATATTATGTCCTTTATCTCCAAGGTTAATTATTTCTTCCAACTGCACTTCAAACTACCAATTAGGCTTTGCTTGAAACTCCCTCATGCCTCGGCTTCCTTGTTTTCCCTCCTACTTTGACCACACCCTCTTTATTTCCTTCATTAGTTCCTCTGCCAACAAGCCAAAATGCCTCAGATCTCGTTTCTTTTCACTGTAACATGCTCCCTAGGTGATCTCATCCACTCCCACAGCTTAATTACTGTCACATGCTGATAACTCAAATATCCTATTTGTCATGACTCATCTGTACCAGATGTCTCCTACATATCTCAACTTCAACATAAACCTAACTCAATAACTTTATTCATTCACCTACTTCTCAGCATACTTCTTTTGGCTTATGGAAACACCATCCACCTACTTTCTCAAGGAAGAAAAATTAGGTTACCTTTGATACTACCTCTTCCTTAACCTTTGCACTCAAGTCACCAAGTGCAGGTGACTTAATCCAAACTTTAGCTCAATGAGTCCCTTGCTCTTCATTTTCAAAGTCACTACTCATCTCATCTCTCAAACCCTCCACCTTATCTTACATGTATGTATCTGCCCCAGAGATTGACAACCTGGACTGCAGGTTAGAATCACCTGGGGAACTTTTGCAACTCCTATTGCTTAGGGCACACTCCAGACCAACTATATCAGGATCTCTGGGGATTTGAGCCAGACAGTGTATCTGTATAGGTTCCCATATGATTCCAATATGCAGCCAGATTTAAGAATCTTCCAAAATTGAAGACATGAGTCCAAAGATTGGAAGTGCATGCAAGAAAAATAAAACCAAATCTATAACTTAACAATTCAAAGTAAAATTGAGTAAACTTGAGGATAAAAAGTCATGTAAAAGTTCCTGGAGAGAACAGAAAAACTGTTTACAAAGGAAAAGAAAAACTGTCTACAAAGAAAAATCAAACCAATAGTATCCTTGCTGTCTGCAACATTAGACGACAAGAAAAAGAGTTAAAAACCTTCAAAGTGATGGCAGTAAAGAGGACACTGTGAACCTAAAATTCTATGGCCTGCTAAATTGTTCCTCAAGAACGAAATACTGTATTATGCTGTGTATAATGCACTCCTGTGTATAATGCACACCCACGCTTTTGTGTGCATTATACACAGATTATATCCATTATTATACCCATCGTATGTAATCATTATACCTACATATAATGTGCATCCTTATTTTTCCCTCAAAATACTTCTTTAGGCAGGTAAGTGAGCCAAAAAGAGAGGTACTTAATGATGTTGACTACATCTGGATTCCATCTAGAAAATGCAAGATGTGTGAAGTGTATTCACCACTCAGGTTTCAATGACCTTAGAGATGTTAACATAGTTCAGCACAAAATTTTATAATGAAAGTATTAGCAGGGTTCTAGCTAGTTAATTTTAATTATTTTCTTGTGTTTTTGTATAAGTTAGTCTCAGTTTCAACCCCTTAATTTTTATAACTTTAAATAATAAAAGCACGAAAGCACTGCCAATATAGTAATGTTAAAAGATTTTTACTACTTTCATTGCAAAATAAAGATGTAATATATTTATATACTTATCAAAATATCAAAACAATTTTGTTTTTGCCATACCTTTTCATGTTTTCTAGATAATCTGAAAATAATTTAAGAACCCCCAAAATGACATCATTCAATCCCTATAAGACTAAACTTAACTTCCTCTCATTATATTTTAGTAAATTCAACCAAACATGTTAATTTTATTAAATTAATCCTCAGTACTATATTCTATGGTTTAACATGAAAAAGAAAAAAAAGACTCTTAACCAAGAATATAATTATATATTTAATATACCTTGCTTTTAACAGCAATTTTCAAAGTAAACACATCATAGAACTTATAACTTATTAAAGATTTATAGTGCTTACAAAGTTGATTCTAAAAATATACCTTATTTGTTCTAAATGAATAACATTATCTGGAAGACAGAATAATAAATTATAGTTGTATGTTTATCACCACTATAGTTTAGATTGTGTACATATATTCAATATAAAATCCTCTTAGGATTTTTTAACACTTTCAGCCTTAAAATGTAAAAAGCACATTAAAGTTTGGCATACAAGACCTCAGTCGGACAGCAATGGTTTTAAAACCAAAAATTAAAACAAATTTCTAGTTAACATGTTAAGAGAACATGGGCACATACACATCCATATACATATATACATTCACTCAGGTCAGCATATACATACACATACACATACATACACACACACACACACACACACACACAGAGTAAGCAGATTTCATTCACTCTTGTGTATCAGATAATTGCCATCAATTTCAAAAATAGTCGAAAAAGTTAACTAAAAATATGTTCAAGTCATATTTAAATGACTCTAGTTATTGAAAAGATAAGCACAAAATTGTTAACAAGATCTCTAACATACTTAATATGCCATCTCAATACATTCTTAATCCGGTTTGAACTACCCACTAATAAGCATATGAATACATAAGAAATTATGTGCTCATTCATTCCCCAGATGGCGTTCCTCTAACATCCAGTCATATGACATAGCCCAAAGTAATTTAATTTATGCAAACCAATAGATTTCTTAATCTATTGAACAGAATTAGAAACTTCATTTAGATCTGTTTGGGGTTTTTAGGTGTTCTGTGTGCAAAAGTAGCAGGTTTCTATATTGCAAATGACAGTTAGTGTTACTTAACACTTCGTGGCACTGCAGAAGGTCATTTTGTATTTATAAGACGTGTTTATTCTAGGTAAATTCCCCAGAGGTCCTTAGTTTTAATTATATATACTCTCCTAGGTTTAGGCTAAAAACAATTTAATGCCAGCAGCCTTTCCCACTCATCACTTTTACCTCCAGTAAAATCTATCAAAAGAAGAATTACTCTTTGAACTCTTTCCAGTAATTCAGGTTTGAAAAATGTTCTATGGAAGTTCATTTTTATCACATATTAAAACATCCAAAGTTCTCTGAAACAATATTAAAATACAGTGTGAGGCAAAAGTAGGTTTACAGTTACAAGTATGTGAAACATAGTTATTCTCGTATTATTATTTATTGTATTATTTTCCATATGAGCAACTGTAAACTTACTTTTGCCCCGCCCTGTGGGCACAGCTACACATTAGGGCACTCATACTCACACTGCTGTGATTAGAAAAATAAACAGGCACAACACTAAGTGAACAAGAATTTTCTTTTCTTTTTTTTTTTTTTGGCTTTCCTCTTATTTTATTACACTAAGTTTATAAATTGTTCAAAGCATTCTTACACTCTGATTGACAGTAACAGAATATTTTGGCACATCAACATTGTGATACAATATATGGTATGTTTAAAAAATTAATTTAAAAATTTAATCTATTAATCTACATTTTTAATGTAGTGCATATATATTTTACAGTTAAGTCAAATACATAAAGGTTTGTAACTGATTTACAGATGAAGCAATCACAGATTGCAGTAATATATGCATATATATATATATATGTGTATATATATATATATGTGTGTGTGTGTGTGTGTGTGTGTGTATGACAATCAAGGTAAAAACTGCATCCTGGCAATTTTAGAGTCCATAGTTTCGTCGGTATATCTATCATTTACATGCCCTTTTCGACCTGTTTTTCTGTACAGAAAAATATTTTTGCCTTCTTCATTCCTGATGAGATTTTTCTGCGATAACTTTACATTCATACTGCAAAATTGAAAAGGTAAAAGGTTAACAGATAAAGGTTTATTTTGAATAAAAATTTAAACTAAAAAGTTTTAAAAATTAATACTTTATTAATCTATGCTCCCTTTATTCCTCAAAGAATATCAGAGTTACACAGCTATTAGGATTAAATGACAAATATGACAGGGAAAAAAAATTTACATCCTAGAAGTGAAAGAGCCATAGCCAAAAGCAGAAGAAAGATGGCACTTCTGCATTACAAGCAAATAATGACAGTTTATGATTCAGATAAGTCCTAAAATAAGAAAGTAGGTTTCTTTGACTGCTCAGTAAGGTCAATCAGCATAGGAAAAGCTATGAACTTAAGGACAGGACCGATATAGTGAGTTCAGATTTTTTTTTTTCAAATCACTTTACAACTTAAAGGAAAATATTATGTTAGCAAAAGCTTCTAGTCAAAACAATACTTTAAAAGTACAACTAAAAAAGTGTACACCCACAATTCAAAATAAAGAAAACAAATGTATTTAGAATAACTGGCTACTTATAGATTATCAAAAAAAAAAAGCAATGTAAACCACATAATTCTCCTACTGATTAAAATGGTAAAGTGACAACACTTGTTCATGAAACTGGTGTCGCCTCTGAATGTTACTCCCCAACCTTTGCAACTTATAATTGGGGTTGCAAACAATGTCCTCTCCTTCTCAACTAAATGATGAAACATCTTGATTTGCTGGAGATAGTTCTAATTTATATCTACTGTCGCAATGTCGTTATTAATAGAGGCTCTTTTCACTTTCAAAATTGTTTCTTTTTAAGGATTTCAAACCTATAAAATTAGTTTTAAAAAGGGGGGAATAAATCATATCACCCTATCCATAACTTGTTTTAGCTTTCTTATCCAGTGGTTCCTTCAACTTTTAATTCACTTGTGATTAAGTTCTTCCAAATGATTTATTTCAGTGGAATTGCACAGAGAAATCAAAGAAAGCTATCTTCACAAATTGCTTATCATTTGGACAAAACTTGTCTTACATCTCAATAACAGAAAAATGATTAAATAAGCATCAGCTTACCATTGCCAGTTGTCGGCCAATGTTTCCCATTGTAATGCCTCCAGCAAAAAATATACAGGGTAACCAAGAACGAACATAGAGAAAATCCGGAGATGTATACCTAGAATAGTAGAAATGTTTTTAACTGTACAATAGCATTTATTAAAATAATTACAATAGAAATTAGTTACTCTTCAGATTAACCTGGCTAAGCCAATTTTAAAAACTCAATTCTGAATTCAGTTATCATTGATCTCTTTTAGTAAGCAAACAAGCACCAAAAAGAATACTTACTGATAAACACCATTGTAGACTAGCAGTTGAGTTACCAATGTTGCCAAAAAAGCAATTCCTACTCCAAGACCAAAACCAGTTCTAGATCTATCAAAAGTCCACCATAGTCCAATGGATAGTGCAGCCAGTGTGAGAGACAACTGTATGTTGTTATCAAAGTCCACTTTCTGACATCAATGTTAAAGAGTCATCTTAAAATGTATAAGCAAATAATATCACCTGTTTATTTTTCTAAAATATGTTACTGTTAAAAAGGAAATTAATTGCTTATTCTATAGTGCATTCAGTCTTTTAATACAATGTATGAGATTAGATGGGATTAAAATTGTCTCTGATATTTACTAAAGACACACAGAGGGCATGGCATTTTATTAATAGATCCTACCAACCTGTAATTCCTAAAACAAAACATAACAAAAACACTGCATACACAATGCCAATTATAAGATCAGACTCATTTGAGAACTGCTTTCTCTGCTAAAAATGTTAACCAGAAGCCTCAGAACACAAGTTTTGCTAAAGAAACATACTTCTGCTAAAAAGAAAACCAATATTACTTCTCAAAAGGGTTGAGAATTAGTTAAGGATCATACAGGAAGTTGAAAATAGAAGAGCTGACAGCTATTTAACAGGGTCCACATTCTCTATATGATTTACTGACAGACACATTTTATAATAATGCAGTTCAGAAACAAGAGTACCAAGGACATGGTATCCCTTTCTATTATGTCAACTGTTCTAGTTTTAATTTGTTGAGGATACAGCCTTGAAGTGAACATTATCTTGCAACCTGTCATGCTATTTTGGTGCCTGAGACATTCTGGTATAGGACAGTTTGCTCAAATGATGTTTTATTTCCATCACCTATTCACAAGCATCTATTCACAAATGTACAGCCCTTTTCTATTCCAAAATCTCTGAGCAAAACAAAGCTTTGCACATTGTTTTCTTATTTCTTTGCTAGAGGATTACACTAAAGGAATTAATTTCAAGTATCACTAAAAGGACATTATCTATGTCCCAAAGGCCACATCTTGGCTTTCTATCCAGCTCTCCAGCAGAGACTATATATCTCACAAAACTAACTGGCCATGGGGCAACTACAGAGAAGAGAGTAGAAATACAAAAAAAATAGATAGGAAACCACTCCCTACTTCCTTTAACACTCTTATTGTTTACCACCATTCCACCTCCACTACCCAACCAGCTAGTATCCTGAACACCCAGTGTGCTTACTTCTCAGCTACAGGCCACTCATTCAAGGTCACCCCCTGTTGAGGCTTGATTTATCAAAAAACCTACAGTTTATGAGTATGCTTCCTGAAAAAGCTTTTCCTATCGTTTGGCAGGCATAGTACCTAAAACTCCACAAAGAAAAGCTTGTGGACTCTGATTTCTCTATGCAATAAACATTCTTGTAAATGTGGAAGAAAAGGGACCACATACTAAACCTGACAAGCTCAGAGGAGGCCTGCATGGTGGCCTTATACTCAGAGACCAAAAGCAACCACAGAGGATAGTCTGAAATTAAAACTTTCTAACAAAAGCAGGTCATGGTGGACAATCACTATCCTAGGCTAGAATATTCCCCGACAAAAATTAGTCTTTACCTTAACTGAACGTGTCTGTTGTCTTTTTGCCATGTCAAATTTTCTTTTTCCAGACATCTCAAAGCACAGGCACTACACAGGGGTAGACCACAAGTCTCCTCATTGGTAATGTTATCATATTAATTGTTAATTGATAACTATCCTATACCCAGCTGTGTAAAAGTATGTGTCTATCATTTTACCCTTTATTCAATCCCAGAGGTTTTCCCCACTTTGCTTTCTCCCACCTCCCTAATCTATCACCAGTAGATTTTATGTAACCTCTTTACGTCTTCTCCTTTGATTCTGATGTATAAAATGAGGTGCAAAAATGCCATTTTCTGGCGCACTCTCTCAATTGCTTCCCAGCAACTGGCATTGGTTTGGCTCAAACAAACTCAAAAAATTCTTACAGGTTTGGACATTTCTTATGTTGACATAAAGAGTAGATTTTGACATTAACTGGGTTCTTACCTTTGCTAACTAAATTAACTTCATTAAGAGTCCAAGCAAAATAAGGAGGCTTCTAGGGTAAACAGGTAAAATGTCAATTTTAAAAATAGTACCATGTGATTTTATGAAGCCAAATTAAGTCTATGTTATAAATTTGTAAACAGTTTGGGTTTTCCTTAAAGAATGTCCACTTCAGCCTGTCATATTTAAGTATTTCGTTGAGAGCGAAGAAAAAGACTTACCAAAGCAAAGAATTTAAATTAGATATATAAACATTTTTAAATTCCAGAAAAAGGCTATTTATATTTCTCAACTTAAAAGTAGCTAAAATGTCTGAGAAAGAAAGGTCTAATTCTCCACCAGATAGCAAGAATTTGTACACTTGCGGGCTCCTGGTTAGGAGAGTGAACATTCCTAAATGGAAGTCAGATCTTTGGGGTCTGGTCTCAGCTCTGGCACAGCCTCACAGTATGAATGACATAGCGAAACCTCTCTAACTTTTATTTGTCTTATTATCTTTATAAAGAAAATATGGAACTAAGTTTTCTTCTAGATATAATATTCTATGAGTCTATCTTTTTAAGTCCTCCTAACCACTAGATTTGTTATAAAATCCTAAATATCAAAGACTTCCCCAAACTAAACATGTTGGGAAATTCTTTCATACAAAAGGAAATGGAAAACCAATATAATAACAGCCCCTGAGGGCCTTCCACATCCACAGATATCCAAGGGCTACACACAATGGGAACAGAAAGGCAGATGTGTTCTCAGCCCATAAGACCCTACCTCTTCCCCGAGCTTCTCAAAAACATGTCAATACGTTCTGTAAAAGGCACAGGAATCTACCTGCCACATGACTCACCCTCTCCAATGAACTACCAGCCCTGAGCACAGTGCAGAGTTACAAGAGGAAACCTTGGGCAGCCTGTCACACTTCCGCTCTTCCCAATACCAAAGGCTCCCAACACATCCATTCTCTAAGCCACCCCTTGTAGAAAGACTGAACCAGCATTTCCCAGATCCTCTTCTACAAAGGACAGTTCAGGGTGAGAGAAGAAAGTAGGGAGGATGATAGAATGAAAACCTTATGAGGGCAAAAACTTTTGTTCGGGGATTAGACCTTTTTTTCCTGAGAAGTAGACGATAGAAGGGGAGAAGGGAAATAGAGGGAGGCTACCTTGCCTTCCTAGCCATAAAAATGACCATTAGTCACTAAATCAAACATCAGAATCCTTAAATGATCAAATTATAAAAATATGTACCATAAAGAAAAAAGTTCTTTGTGACTAAGGTCTAAGCTGAATATTTCTACTACGCCACCTTTAAGACCATTTATGTGGTTTGCTGGTATTGATTAAAACCAATAAATGACAGACTGTCTTTTTTTTTAATTCATAGGTTCTTGAAATTAAAAACAAAAAACAAAAACAACAGTACCTGAAGCCATCACATATCATTAATGGCAAACCTTACATGAAGAGGAAAGGAATCCTTTGAAAATTTACCTGTTTCAATGCTAGTTACAAAAACTATATGTAAGTAATTTAGTGACCTAATTTAAGAAAAACACATAAGCATTTTAAACAGGCAAATTTTCTAAGTTATACCGAAAAAATGATATTTAAATGAAAGGCTAAACTCCACACTGCTGCAGCATCATACAGATGCTACCGTGATGTTTCAACAATGGACACATGTTCCTTTTATGACTAACTGGGCATAATCTCAATTTGACAACAGTGAAATTGCAAGGGACGAGTTAACCTTTGGTTTGTTGGGAGCCACTTTGTTATTATGCACTTCATTATGGCAAAAAGGATACAGCGCTGGCATGATTTATACCAACAAAGACAGCTACGCACCGCATTACACTGGACCACTCTCTTTTAAATTTATGTGGTTCTCCTAGATGCCTGTCAATACAGGGGTATAATAACCCAATCACAGCTGTGGATATAAAGAGAAAAAAAATTAAGTCACCTTCAATGCCATACTCTTGAAACTTAAAGCTAGGAGTCAATACAACCACCATAAGCATTTCAAAGATTCTTTTAAAAAGCTCTTCAAGTTACTTAATGTCAATTGCTGATATTGTAAACTTACCTTCCAAAAGGAATAAAAAATGAGAACACCACTGAAAAAAGTACTGTAAATGATTACAACAGTATTCTAAATTATAAAAGGCACAACACTATTTCAGTCTATGATTCACAATTTACCGTATTGCACTAGATGATTCATGCTACTTTTCTGCTACTAGTATCTCTGAGACTTGAAAAGCATCAAACCAGTTGGCAGTTAAGCAATGACCTCTCTAAGCTATAAAACCATGAAACATTCTATTAAATGGCACAAATCTAAAAAGGAGCTGAGATCTAAACACACACAAGTCCATCATGCACACAATATTCAGATGGCTATGGCTGTCCTGTTTCACAGATCATCTTTGCCCCTCCAGCTTCTTGTCTCAGTCTCTCGCCTCTAGTGCCTTGTTCTGACACTCCCTCCCACCCTGGCCCTCTAATGAGACTCTAGATCATACTGTCAAAGCAGAAAAACTCACAACACAAATCTACACATAAGATTCATTCCCCACATAGAAAAAAAAATGGAGGAAGCATGGTCTATATAAAAATTATAAATTTTTGGTAAAAATTTAAATTCACTGTTAAAATATAAGAAATTCTTTTAGTACACTTCTTAGTTTTGGAAAGAACATCTTGATTGCTAATTCTGTAATTAATTATGAATAAGTATATGAAAGTGTCCATAATTGATACTCGAAATATTCTCATCCAATTTTTAACATAAATATTTGTCAAGCCTCAACTTTTTATTCATTTAGTTGAAGATTTAAAATGCTTAGTCATAAAAAAGACTATTTAATGAACCAAAACTTTCTTCAACAAGTTATAAGGAAAATGTATTGCCACAGATTAAATTTAACAAATCAAAGCTGCCTAGCTATTTCCTATTCTTCTTCCAAAAAACAGAATGGTTACGCTCCTATTAAGAAACAAGGACACGACTGTCACATCAGTTGAAAAGCATATTTTAAACCTCCACTACTACCTATGACATATCATGAAACTATCATACCCAACCCTGTGTGCCTGAGCGTCGGAAGTTTCTGCCTGGCCTGATGGTGGCCAGCTATACCTCACCGACGATGTGTTCCATCCTCAAGGAAAAAGGAAATCAATGAATACCAAAAATCACAGGCTAGCAGACCAATGGAGCAGCATGAAAAAGAGGATATCCTTCCATCTGCAGTTGAGATGCTGCTATAATGTATGCATTTTCTAATCCACAAAACACTTGAACATGCTCTTTTGAGTTGGTCTTTGGCACGAACTATTAAGAGATTAACAACAAACTTCAGTAATGTAGAGCTCCAAAAACTACCAGTAAGTTTTTAAGTTTTACATTACAACAGGTCCTTGAATAAGGTCACTACATTCACTGTCATTTCACTATAACACTGTAGGAACTTAAGCTCTTGTTTATATCAATTGGCCTATGATAAAACTGGCTTTGTTATCTGCCATTTCCATTAAAATTGCAAACCTACTGAAGACTTTAAATGAGAACTATATATTCCTATTAAAAAGGCTATGCTCTAAAATCCTGTAAAATTCAATGACAGTATTTCTAAACTTGTAGAAAATTAAAGTGGCAACAATCACTCCTAGAACTGCAGTATATCTAAATGAGAATTACCTTTTTTTCTCCCCTTAAGGGGTCATAAAACAGCTTTTCCGTCATTCCTCACTCATATTGGCGTGTGCTGCGCTGGCGCTCTCCGCACCGCCCCCCCACCTTTGTCTGTTGCTAAGTAAAACCTACTAAAATCAGGCATTCCAAGCCAATTTTTCTCAGCAGTTGATGCCAAAGGTAAAGAACTACCACATAGAAAGGACTGATATATGTGCAAAGATACAAATAAGTAAAATTGACTATACTTTTATGCATTTGATATCAGGCTTGCAAGTGAGAGACAACTGAGGAGAGAAAGCAAAAACACAAAAAGAATTTAAACTGCCACGCTGGCCAACCTTCAGATTTTCCAATAAAAATCAAATCCAGTGAGTGCATAGCTCTCCAATACTCACTGAGAGGAAGATTCCGAGGAAGGTTGCCACTTCCCATTAAATGTCTTTTCTCTTCCCTTTATTTATTTAAATTGTTGTTCAAGTATAGTTGTCTCCATTTTCCCCTCACCACTCTCTCCCACCTCCCACCCTCAATCCTACCCCGCTTTGGCTTTGCCCATGGGATTTTACACCTGTTCCTTAACGACCCTTCCCCTTCTTTCCACCATTATCCCCCTCCTGCCTCCCCTCTGGTTACTGTTTGTTCTTTATTTCAGTGTCTCTGGTTATATTTTTGCTTGCTTGTTTGTTTTGTTGATTAGGTTCCACTTGTAGGTGAGATCATAAAGGAAAGGCAGAGTCTGACAGCAGTATCTACAGCACAGTGAAGCTCTACTGTTTATGAGCTCAACACAGGTATGTCTGGTCTTCTTTTCCTCTTTCTCCACTTTCTTATTTTAACAAGACAGACTGTTATAAGCATGCCTGTGTAAAATCATATGCAAACAAATCCTGGTTAATCAGATGGTTCTCTGATGCAAAATCATATTTTTGGGGATATCAGACTACCTCGTTTTTATTATGCTTTGCTATATTGAGCTTTGCAGATATTGGATTTTTTTACCCAATTGAACTGAAGGTTAAGACCCTCCACCACTCCACCAGCAAAAAGATTACAACTCACTGCAAGCTCAGATGATAGTTAGCATTTTTTAGCTAGTATTCTATTTTTTAATTAAGGTATGTACATTGTTTTTTTAGACATATGCTATTGTACACTTAATAGATTAAAGTATAATGTAAACATAATTTCTATATGCACTAGGAAACCAAAACATTCATGTGACACTTCATTGCAACATTTGCTTAATTGTGGTGGTCTAGAATCAAATCCATAATATCTCCAAAGTATGCCTATATATTTATTTGCCAGCGATCAGTGACAGCCTACCAAGGCTATAAACAATAAGTTTGTAAAACATCAACATTGTCCTCTTCTTCATGGTCATGTGTTTAATGCAGTGATACACTAAAAGGAACAGTTAAATCAAGCATTTTGCCAGAAAAAGGAACTGAAAGGACAAAACCACTTAATGAGATATACTTTCATGGAAAACTATGGAATGTTATAGGATAGGCAAATTCAACAAATACTTAGGCTCCCAACATGACCACAGAAACAATTAAATACAGTAATGTGTTAGGGGTAGCACTGGCAGGGTCCAGTGGGGTCCCAGGCTCCTCCTGGCATATGCTAAGGGGAGGAAAGGTGCTAAAGCGTCAGGAAAGCTTCACAGAAGAGAGGATGCTTGAAGCAGAAGCATTCAGCAGGTAAGTGGTATGGGAAGGGCTTTCTAACCAAAGTGAGCCATTTGGGAACAGAAAACATCCAGTAACACCTAGAAATTGTTAAGCATTAGGCAGAAAGGGAGCTCAGGATCCAGAAAGACTCTGAGGAAGATTTAAAAAAAAAAAAAAAACAAGGGCCATACCACAGAGACTTTACCCTGCAGATACTGGAGAACCAGGAAAATATTGCTATCACACTTGTACCAAATGGAACAGTAATTGCTCTTAACAGCAGTGAGTGTAAAGTACATGACAGGGTAGGGGAGGCTGGAAGATGGTACAAAATTAAGAGGCAGAAAAAAAAACCCCTGAAAATTCCAAGCAGGGTAGTTGAGTGGCTGGCCCAAGAAAGAGACAGAGGAAAGATGTAAAACTGGGAACTGGATGTGGAAGTTGCGAGAGAGAAGTAGGAGTCTTGCAGGGCTCTCCAGAATTTGGGTACCTGACTGCATGGCTAAACAGGACAGCTTTGATTTTTTCTTTTTAAATTAAACATTAGTTTCAGAGGTATGAATACAACCTGGTAACTTGTGATTTTTAAATCAACTTCTCTACTTATTTTATACAACAGTTATAGTTTTCATTTTCCTCCTATTCTTCAGAAAGATTCTTTTGAGGCCCTCTGTCATGTTGAAGAGGTTTCTCACTCCAATTCTAATGCACTGCACATAAAGAAGTTAATCAACTTGAAACACTAGTCATTATTAAACTAAAAATAGAGAACTAAAATGAGGAAAATCAGATGAAAAGCAATTTACCAGAGTTCTCTACTAGCTGTCTCTCCAAAAGCACCAACAGCAAGTTCCCCAGCCCTATGTGTTATACAGAAAAGTAGCAGATAATCAGGGGTCCTTCTGTTTACATGTAGAAAGTGGTGATTGTAGAGACCCTCCAGGAGATAGCTCCTCAGTCTACGAATATTAGTTGGACAGGAAAATTAAAGGACAATTCTCAGTTTTCCTGATTTAAGATGGTGAGAGCTTAGAAAGTTTTGAAAATGTACACCAACACATATACAGAGAAACATATACATGTTACATACACACACAAACTTGTACACACTATATTTCTTATATCATTTATTTTATTTTTCCGTGATATTTTCCCTAAAACTGAGGCTGCAGGGAGCAGGAAATAGGCAAGAATCCATTTTCTATCTTTGGCAATTTTCACAAGTCTGGAATCTTCATTCTCATCTACTAAACAACATGACTTATCCAAAAAAAAATCAGTAGCAAAGGCAACTGAAGTCTAAATTTCCTAATGCCTCTTTATTTCTTTTAGGGAGGTACATCATGGAATACATTGCTTTCAGAAGAAACAGTTAAGCAAGAAATGCTAATCCCCAAATGAAAAGGTGTGATATTAAGTTTCCAAGTATCACAAACCTAGTGGCTGGGAAAAGGAAGGAAAATAGGGACAAAGTGACTGACGTGTAATATTAACTTTCAGAATTTTCCCTCTTAATTGTTAGTTTGTGACAGAAGTGCTCCTTTCACATCCATA